CACCACCTTCCTGTACCAGCATAACTGTGTCCCCTGGAAATATAGGCAGATAGATTTGGTGAATTGCACCAAAATCCCGCTGAAACATTTTGCCACCCACAATTTGAACACCCAATGGGCATTTTGTTCGGTACTGGCAGTCAATAGAACCTATGACCAGCTGAAGGCACACTGGGATGCATGTCTCTCCAGTTATCCAGCAGAAGAGAGGCAACACATTTATTCATAAATTTAGAGAAGTTAGGGTCAGAAGGGACCTCAATAGATCATCGAGTCCAACCCCCTGCATACACAGTAAAGAGTGCTGGGTTCAGATGACCCCAGCCAGATGCCTATCTAACCTCCTCTTGAAGACCCACAGAGTAGAGGAGAGCATCACCTCCCTTGGGAGCCCGTTCCAGACCTTGGCCACTCGAACTGTGAAGAAGTTCCTCCTAATGTCCAATCTAAATCTGCTCTCTGCTAGCTTATGGCCATTATTTTTTGTGACCCCCAGGGGTGCCTTGGTGAGTAGAGCCTCACCAATTCCCTTCTGCACCCCCATGATGAATTTATAGACAGCCACAAGGTTGCCTCTCAACCTTCTCTTGTGGAGGCTGAAGAGGTCCAGGTGCCCTAGTCTCTCCTTGTAGGGCTTGGCCTGCAAGCCCTTAACCATACGAGTGGCCCTTCTCTGGAACCTCTCCAGGTTATCCATATCCCTCTTGAAGTGTGGCACCCAAAACTGCATGCAGTATTCCAACTGCGGTCTGACTAGCACCCGATAGAGGGGAAGTATCACCTCCTTGGTTCTGCCTGTTATGCATCTGCTGATGCATGATAAAGTGCAGTTTGCTTTGCTGATGACTTCGTCTTGGAGTCCACTAGGACTCCGAGATCCCTTTCCGATTCCATGCTACTGAGCAGGTCATTTCCTAGGCAGTAGGTGTGCTGGACATTTTTCCTCCCTAGCACATCTACTGCCTAGGAAATGATCTGCTCGGTAGCACTCTTTAAACTCAAAATGGAGATAAGAGTTTCAGCAAATCCCCAAACCACTGTCTGCTGAACTATAAGTCAACTCTCTTCTCACCTCAAACACACTGAATACAATTGCTTAAGATGTGCAATTTGTTTTTAAGGAGGTACTTAGGATGAGATTTGTAGGTGTTTTTCTACATGTTACCATGTAGTTCCATTGCAAGATGGTACAAAATGAAGGAAATTGACACTTCTTGAATTTTCTGCAGTCTGATCTTTTTGATTAATTAACTCTCATCAAATATTTCAGGACTTGTAGATGGCATTGATTGATGACCGATTCCAACGTTATGACAAACCTAAGATAGAATGAAGGGAAGACTCGAAGTGTGATTGTGTTTTAATTAAGTCCTGAGACAGCTAGATGAAAAGGGGTGTAAGTTGTCGACAAGCATGGTAATTTACTTTCTCAAAACAAAGGATACTAAAAGTCTGCCCTCGTATCCACCATTTTGATTGTATTCTTCATTCTGTTCACTCAGCCCTCATGTAAGGCTAAAACCTTTCCTCATATAGGCTGTTTTGGTATCAAAGCCTTTATTAAGATTTGCAAGCACTGGTTAAAAAAAATGCTACTTCTCACAGAGTAAGCTTTTTAAAATTTATTGCTCATTTGCCAGTCCAGAAACCAAACAGCCATGCTGTGTGTACAACATATAAAATACAAGTGTACAGCAATATACATTAAAAATGGAATAGAGGCCAGTTTCACACCACTAGTTTAGGTTTTCATGATGGAAGTTATGCAAGAATAAAGCAGATAATTCCTAATTTTATATTTTCAATTTAAAAGAGCATCAAATGTTAGCACAGAGTGCTATATGAAGAGGAACTAAGCCTGCCAATGAAATTTTATGTTTTGTATTGATTACTGAAACTGTGCAATTTGACAAAGTACTCAATTTTCATTCATTCAGTAGAAATAATGCCCCTAAGCCTTTCTCTGGTTTGACAGTGCTCCTTTTGGCTGTAAGAAGTCTATGTCCTATATATTCTGGAAAAAGATTTCCTTCCATTTATATTTAAATAAGACTGCTGAGCTAAGATATAAAGACCTCTTTCCTGACATTTCAAAAGCTCTTAGTCTGATCAATAATTTAGAGCATACCTACAGTTCTTCAGCAATTTGCAAATCCAAATAAGCACGTATGCGTTCCTTGATTAGTTTAAAAAGCCGGTCATGTCACTCAAGCACTTATTTGTAACTAAACATTAAAAACTGAGGGGGAAAAAATCCATTGGAATTATTTTAATGAATAATTTTATTTCAGTAAATGTTAATATGCAAGAATCAAGGTAGAAAAGAATTTTAATAAAGGTAACTATAACCATCAACTAAATGAGTTTAAACATACTGATATACATGCATAATTACTACACAGAATAAAATACTGCAAACACTTTCTACATTGCATTTTTAATGATGCCAAGTGGCTTGTTTATGTTTTAAAAATGTACTTTATATCTAAATACTACCCTTTGGATCACCTGGAATTCAGTATAACACCAGGCTGAAAAAAGATTAGTACCCACAAGCATAAATATACGCAGGAAAAAATTAGCCTAGCCCTTGTTAAGATTAATAGGGCCTTGAATTGGGATCTATATGAAGCCCTGAGGATGCTAATGTGGTTCTATGCCACCAGGGGGATCCATGCAAGCGGAACAGCTTGCTGGATTGAGACTTAAGACATAGAAAGTGCAGGACAGCAATCAGTAAGTTTTTAAAATACATTATGGTGCCTTACGGGCGTGGCTGGTGATCTGTGAAACAGGTAGGGTGGGTGGAGCCTCACACTGGGAGCAACCCTGCGCAGCTGGGGACACTGGGACTGCTCGGAGATTCCTCGCTGCTGTGAGCTGCAACACCCCTCCCCCCCCCCCCCCCCCCCCCAAGCATGTGTAAAAATGCCCAAAGATTTCAACGGCCCCCCCCCCCCCCCCCCCCCCCCCCCCCAATGCCCTGGCGATGCACCCCTGCTTTGAGGAGCGTAGCCCTGTGCTGCTGCCCTCACAAACGGCCCCACGCACAGGGGACGCATCACCAGGGCAGTGGGGGGCAAGAAGCAGCGAGGAGGAGGTTTTCCGCACAGCTGCTCTGCTTCCTGCAGCACCGGGTCGTGGGGGGAGAAGCAAGGTGGCAGGGAACAGTAGGCCCCCTGCTCACCACTGTTCCCTGCCATCCTGCTCCCCGCCCTCGTGACCTGGTGTTGCAGGAGCGAAGGAGCAGCGCACAAAACCTCCTCCTTGCTGCTTCTTGCCCCCCACAGCCTTGGCAATGCGCCTCTGTGCATGGGGCTGCAGTGAGGGTAGCAGTGCGGGGCTCCTCAAAGCAGTGGCAGGCATAGAGGGGGCAAGGACAGGGCAGCAGGGGGGTAGTTTGCAGCAGGAAGGAATCCCCGTGTGGTCCAGCAGTCCCCAGCTGCACTGGGTTGTGCCCGCCAGGCTCTGGAAGCCCCAGAGGAGGGAAGCAGGACAGGAGCTCGAGCCCACAGCCTGCACCTCCCTGGGTACAGTTCTGGGGGGCATGGGTACCCCCGTTCCCTGGGAATGCACATGGCAACGAGGTGTCAGGCCCTCTCCCTCCCCTGGACAAGCCACCTGCGGCCCCATCCTGCTCCCTGCAGCCACGCATTGCAGCCCCAGCCCAGAGCCCCACCTGGCTGGGCAACAGCCCCCAGCCCTGCACAGCTCCTTCCCTACAGGGGCCTCAATCCCCCTTTCCTCCACCTACCTGCTGGAGATGCTCTGCAGGCAGCCTGGGGCCAGTGCATGTCTCTGCATGTGGCGCCCCCTGTCTTTCCACCTTCCTCCAAAACAGCTCTTTACCTGGGCTGGGGGTCAGTACTGGTGCCCCGCTGCCTGCTTAAACAAGTGGTTATTGCAATCCATTCTAACTGATGAAGTGTTTCTATTGTGCATGCACTACTCAGGCGGCAAGGAGATCGCCCTGAGGTGCTTACTGAGCATAATCAACTTTTTGTTGTGTATGTGTAGTGCATGAGCGTAATCATGATCATGTCGTTCTGAAACTGGTGGGGCGGCACCTGAGCATCCCCTATTGACTGGCTGACACTAATGCCTTAACTAGGTTATAGCAAAGAGAAGTAATAGAACAAGGAGCAATGGTCTCAAGTTGTAGCAAGGGAAGTTTAGGTTAGCTATTAGGAAAAATACTCACTAGGATCATAGTAAGACAGTGGAACAGGTTAAACAGAGAGGTCGTGGACTCTTCATCCTTGGACATTTTTAAGACTTAGCTACAAAAAGCCTTGGCTGGGATGATCTAGTTGGGGATGGTCCTACTTTGAGCAGGGGGTTGGACTAGATGATCTCCCAAGGTTCCTTCCAACCCTAATTTTCTATGATTCTAAGTATGTAATTTCTAAATCCACAATAAGACAGTCAAACTTTGTTCCACTGCATTATTTTTGAAAAAGTAACCACAGATATGGCAAAAACACCTATGGAACCTGATTGTGAAAGGAAGATTAGAAAATTGTAATAAGTCTTGGGGCTGTTCTCAAGACTCTAGGGGATATTTCATAGATGTGCTGACATATGCATCTTGTCAAACATTAAACTAACCTGCAGTTGTAAATATATCACAATGTACTGCACGTTGCTACTTGTAATTATATTCATAGTATTTTTTAGAAATTTATTAAAAAAAATGAAAATGCACAATGAAAAACAAATCACAGAAACCATAGCTAGTATTTCTCTGTAAACCAATCAGCAAAATAAGTATCACCCTATCTTTTCCAGCTGAGAATTTTCATGGTATAATAAAATAGTTGTCACCAGCACAGTTTAGTTCACTGCATATATAAACAATTAATATGATATAAAAATAATACTTCCCCGTAAAGACCTTATATATGCAGTTGTAAACCACCACCTGAATAATGCCAAATGGTTTGTGCACATGCAGATACATCAGCAAAACATTTATGAAACATATCTTAAAAGCAACTTACTTTGACCACATAATTAAACCTCCTGATGTCCTGAACCGCACTTGAAAAATCTAGACGATTAAAAGCTTCTCCAAGGGTGCAATAACCATGTCTCTTGAAAAAGAAGAATATAAAATGTAAGTGGAATGAAACAAAAATTATATTTGCTTCTCAATCACAAAAGTCCCAATTCAGAAAAACACACAAGCATGATTGCTAAGCAAAGCATACACATAAAATACCTTTCTGGAACAGGGAAGCTTCCCATATCCACATCTGCAATTGTTCTTCCTGCCTTCCCCAAACAAGGATGACCCCTGTCTCAGGAAGGCCTGGGGAGCATTTCCCTGCTGCTCATCTATTTCTGGTCCCCAAGAAGACTGAAGAAACAAAGAAGCCTACAGATGTTTGTTTTTCAGGGAGAAACTCTCTTGGGAGCAACCTTTACTAGGTAAGAAGTGGATAATTTTTCTCCCAGAATCACTATTTTCATTCCAAGAGAAACTGTGTAAACACCTGTACCCTTGTGGTTTCTACCAAGAGAGCTGTGATTCTTCCAAAAGAAACATAATACCTGCATGTAGCCTAAAGCTTTATCTTGTGTGCCCTAAATCTCAGGATGAGTAACAGTGGGTTTGTGAACACAGCCTGTCCTTCTGCTTTGTGATCACACTGCTAAGACAAAATAACCAAGACTTTCACAGCGAATTGTCAAATAAAAAGCAAGCTGTTTAGCTGCTTGCTGCAGCTTTGATTTTAATTTCACATCTATGATCAGCTGGAGATCACTAACAGTCCTGCACAGCTGGTAAGAGAAGTGGTGCCCTTTTGAAGTAAAAGCTGCAGAAACCCCTCAGTGGTCCCATGCACAGTTTGCTTCAGCAATGTATGCCCCCAGATAATCCAAAAATCCTCAAATTTGCAGGGAGTTAAGAATTTAACCCTGTGAAGTATACAAGTTCTACTGTACTAACAGGGAGCTGTCATGCTGTCTGGGTTGATGCTATAGCTGTTCATAGCTATCTCTGTGCTTTTACATGCAAATTCCCAAGCATCAGAAATCTAGTCACTCTATGCTCACATAAAACAGGGCAGGACAGACTTTACAGATTAACTGGCTCAGAAAGGCATATGCTTTCACAGGCGATCAGTTAGTCTCTAAGGTCCGTGGCAAATATTACACTTAAGATGCAATTAGCCAGTTAATTGTGTCTTAAATAGTAACCCAGCCACAAGTTCAGGCAATTAATGGTGCAATAAAATGGGAAATAAACCACAAGAATTATCCCACAGAGTATGTGCAATAATGTCGTGACTGGTTTCCATCATGATTTAAATTGAATGTATGGCAGAGCTATGGGATGGGCGCCATAGTGGTCTGGGGGTAGGACCCACAAACAGCTGATTGTTGGTCTCAGCCACGGGACTGCACAAGTTCATTGGACACCTGGCTTTCTATCTGCCAGGGCAAAGGAAAGCCAGGATTATGATCCCAGGCTCCCCCTGCACTGGCAAGAAGTAATGGTACTATTGGGCTCTGATCCCCAATGTCAAAATTGTGAATTTCATAGACATTAGGGCTGGAAGGGACCTCGGAAGATCATCGAGTCCAGCCCCCTGCCCAAAGGGCAGGAAGTCAGCTGGGGTCATAGGATCCCAGCAAGATAAGCATCCAGTTTGCTCTTGAAGGTGTTCAATGTAGGTGCTTGAACCACCTCCGGTAGCAGGCTGTTCCAGACTTTGGGGGCTCGGACAATAAAGAAATTCTTCCTTATGTCCAGCCTGAAACGGTCTTGTAGTAGTTTTATGACCATTCGACCTAGTTGTCATCCCTTGGGGCGCTCTGGTGAACAAACGTTCCCCCAGATACTGGTGGTCACCCCTGATAAACTTATAGGTGGCCATCAGATCACCCCTGAGCCTGCGCTTTTCCAGGCTAAAGAGCCCCATGGCTCTCAGCTTGTCATCGTAGGGTCTGCTTCCCTGACCTCTGATCATACGTGTGACTCTTCTCTGGACTCTCTCAAGCTTCTCCACATCCTTTTTGAATTGTGGAGCCCAAAACTGGACGCAGTACTCCAACTGCGGCCTCACCAAGGCCGAGTACAAGGGGAGAATGACGTCCCGGGATTTGCTTGAGAAGCATCTATGGATGCAAGCCAGCATTTTGGTCGCTTTACTAGCCGCAGCATCGCATTGCAGGCTCATGTTCATCTTGTGGTCAATGATGACCCCCAAGTCATCACTGTGTGGCACAGCAGGAGTTGCGATTCTTGGGATTGGTGAGCACATCCCATTGCTTCATTAAGTGAACATGTACCAGAGAAGCAGGGGCCTATGGTGCCACCCAACCCTGCCTTCTGCCTGCCTTCAGATTAATAGTTAACTACTTCTCTATCCTCATGTAAGAGTTGTAGGATAACCTGTCAACCTGTCTGTTTATTCTTGAGATTCAAAAGGAAATGGTATAGGCCTGCCAAATTTTCCTGGCAGTAACCAGGATGACAAAAGGCTGGATCATCCCCTTAATTATGAAGAGCAAGAACTGTTGTTTCTTTTTTAAATGGGGAGGCAGCATTTCTTTTTGGTGCCTCTGCACAACATGGTCCAGAAGCATGTAGTTAATGCCAGTTTCTACTGGGTAACGTCATACTGCTAATGACATGCAGCATGCAAATCAATTTAGGCTTGAAAAAGAAAAAAAAATCTACATTTGGTGCAGTGGGCACTGATGCCTGCAGAGCAATTACTCCTATGCTGTCATGCAGGCTTATCAAAATTGGAAATATTTCTAAAATAACTGAATGGTTTGAATGGATGGGCTTCCTGAATTGTACAGACATATGGGTTTCATATGCCCAGCCTATGTCTACCTTATTAGCAAGCAAAAGGATACTCTTCCTTTTCAATTGTGCTGCTGTCACTTGTGGGTGACCTTGGTATATTTATGAACACCTAGCCCAGATGAATGGAAAAGATGCATACACACGTTCCTTAAGCCTGATCTGTTAAGCTATGGGAAAGTCGGTATATTGTTACTCTAACAATCAGAAACTGATTTAGTGCCAATCTGACTTTCATTCCAGCCTATTGCAAAATAAAATAGATTTTTTAAAACACAGTAAGAATTCCAGATAGCCTCAGTGATTACTTACAATCCTGGTTGGTCACTTTTTAGCTTATCTGTCACAAGCTAGAAAGATTTCCTTGGCATAAGTGAAAGGTTTAATTCTCTGCGTCTCTGAAAGCCTAAAGGATGCTATTTTATATTCATGTATTCAAACTTCTGGCAAACACTGGGGCTGAATAATAGGTTTTTCATACTGAATTGGAATTTAAGGCAAGAACCTCAATGCACTGTACAAGTCTGATATGTGTACATTATGAGATTTTCTTTTCACCTTTACTGAAATTCATTGGCATGAAAGTAGCAGGTATATCAACTGCCCTAAAATGGTAAAAGGATATGCAAACAAAGAAAATCTTATCTCACTAATAATATATGTAACCCTAATGAGCATCTGTTCTCTCTCTGCAGTACTGACCTAGGAGGAGTGCAAATCTCAGTCTGCAAATGGAATGAGGGCCCAGGACTCATTGCCCGTCTCCTCTAAGAGCTGCTCTGTATGTTCTGCATGTAGTAGCTCTGAGGCAGTTCTGTAAGGTCATCAGTCATAGAGGTTTGGTCTCCTGGAACAGGTCTCAGGCACATCCCTGTGAAATCCCATCCCTGGCTTCATCTTACCATCATGGCAAAGTTACTGATAGTAGTCCTTTTCTACATCCTTTGTTTCCCCAACTAGATATGTTTTCTGTTTTTGGGGGGTGGGGGAGTTATTGCACCTCTATTAGAAAGTCAACTTACTCCTGTTGCTTCAGTATCAAACTCAGAACTTTGTCACTGGGTGCATCTACACGTGCAATTAGTATGGAATAATAAACTCCGATGTAGTTTACACCAGAGTCAGCGGCTGCCAGGTGCAGATACATCTGTGCTTGGGGCCGCAGCAGTCAGAGCTGGGGTGGAGCAGCCCCAGGCTGGCAGCAGGTTCTGGTGGGGAGGGGGGGAAGGGGCTGGCTGGGGAACAAGGGTGCTACCGTGTGGGGCTAGCTGGCAGGCAAACCCTGCACTGTAGCACCCTCATGCCCCAGCCAGCCTCGGTCACAGTCTACACGTGCAATGAGGCAGTGTAAATTACTCCGCTGTAGAATAGTACTTACCCTGAACAGTATTATCCTATAGCAGAGTTAACTGATTTCCTACACCCTAATATGGGTGCACATGTAGACGGTGATGCTTTGCTGTGGAGCTAATTAGTCAACTCTGCAGTAAAGCATACATGTAGATACACCCACTGACACCAAGTAATTTCATAGGGTGCCTATACACATGCAGAGAGGCTGCTCCAACGCACTGTAATTCAAACACGTCGGAGAAGACTTGATCAATCGAATCTGCTGAAGCGTGGCAATTACCATGCTCCAGCAGACTCCAGAGTCACATGTATCAGTGTCCCCGCACTGAAAAAAGGTGGCGGGGGCACTTTACCTAAAGCTGGTTCAACAAGATTTAAAGCCCCCTCACCGCCATTTTTCAGTGTGGGAAAGCTGATACACATGATACTCGAAGCACTTTAGAGCAGCTCCAAAAGCCGTTCTAATTAATTAAAGCACCCCCCCTTCCTCCCGCACATGTATAAACAGCTCTAGTTCCCAGACCATGTCTTGATGAGTCACCATAGCATTTTTTCCTAACTGGGGGAGGGGGGGGACAGGAGACAACATAACACACAAACTGCTGAAATTACCGAAC